TCAGGTAGATCACGATGTGCAGGCGCTGGTGTAAGTGAATCAGAAGAGACTATGGATACTTCGTCATTCTTGTTGAAGTCTACCGAAATAGGTGATTCCGGAAGTTCTTTTTCTGTCTCTGAAATAGATATGTAAACATTTGGCTACAACAGATCCTCTGAAAGAAATGAACTATCCCACCTTTTCTTTCATCTGCATCCTCCATTTTGGCAGTCGTGGTTGTTTCTTCTGTTTTTGCTGTAGTACTTACTTCTGCTGTTGGTACTTCTTCTTTATGTGACGTGAACACTTTTGCTTTGAGATATGGATTCTTCCAAGGTTTTTTCTCCGTGGTTGTAGTCAAACTTTGCTCTGTACTCAAATTTTCGTTAGCAGCGGTGGTTGTGGTCTCTGTTGTAGTAGGCGTTATGTCTTCCTTAGGTGTTTCTGAAGTACTTGAAGTGTACGGAAGTGTAGAAGTGGCTGTTGTAGAATCAGAAGAACTTTGCGATGTCACTTCCATTACTTCTATACTCGTAACAAGAGTAGGAAAAGAATTTTTTGCTTTAGGGGTTGTTACCATCGATGAAGCTGTAGTTGACGTTGTTCGATGTTCCATTTTCGTTTCATCATCTACAGTACGCATTGGAGGTGGTTCCGTTTTGGCTTCTGTCGCAGTACTACTAGTAGCGGTACTGGATTTAGCAGTTATTTCAGGAGCTACCTCGTCAATTAACGTCGTCACAAAGAGAGTGGATGTTTGGACAGGTTTTTCCGTGGTGGAGGTTTCCGAAACAGTAGTAGTTTTGGGCTCAGAGGTCACAGTCACTGTGCCTATGGTATTGCTAGGAGCAGTTGATTCTAAAGGAGCTGCAGAAGTTTCAGGCTCAGAGGTTACAATTGCTGCTATCGTACTGCTAGGGGCAGTAGATTCTGAAGGAACTGCAGAAGTTATAGACTCAGAAGGCAGAGTTACTGTTTGCGTAGTTCTGCTAGCTGCAGTAGATTCCGAAGGAGGTGCAGAGGTCCTTGAATCTGTCAATGTGTCAGAATTTGTAGTAAGTCTACTTTCTGCTGTGGATGAGCCATCGGTGGCCGACAGGGTTACAGCAGAAGTCGTTTCAGGACCTTGAGATTTAGAAGTGAGATCAGAGTCAGGAGCAAGCGAATTGGCAGTGCTTTCGGTGGTGGCGAACGAGGTCTGCGGGACGTGAGTCGTTGAGGTAGTAGTGAATTTTGTTCGAAGCTTCTTGTCGGCTGAGTTTTGAAGTTCGTCGTTTGAATCAACCGGAGGTTTCTCTCCAGCATCGTGATGAATTACTTTTGTGGCATATGTCGATGAAGCCACCGAAGTTGAAGCTTCTTCTGATGTGGTCGCTTCCTCTTGCACTTTAGTTTTAGTGCCAACTCTTGTCGTTTCCTT